AGAGAGAGAGAGAGAGAGAGAGAGAGAGAGAGAGAGAGAGAGAGAGAGAGAGAGCGAGCGATAGTGCCTAGTGCCACTTTTAATGACTCAGTGTATGTGCCTTCTCCTCCGCGTTTGTTTGTAAGTCCCGCGCTGTGGAGGCGTGTGCCGCCGGGACTTGGCTGCCCCACCCTGCCCGGCCCCGCCCCGCCCCGGTCCAGTCCGTCCAGCGCCGGAATGGTAATGCGGGGCGATGTGAGCCCCCTTGTAATCGTGTTAGCAGAAAGTCTGTGCTCCCGGGAGGGGCCGCCGGCCACCGCAAGTGTGGGGCACGAGTGCGCGCCCGGGGGCCCTGGGGCCCGGCCGCGAGGGTGGCGCCGTACTATGTACCTCATTTAAAGGGCGAACCCTAACATTGGTTTTGTGCTGCGGTGACTATGATGATTAGGTTTGCAGTAAACTGTTGTACACTTTGGCGCTTTGCTTGCATAGTGCTGTTTTATTTAAGTCCCGACTCCCTGTGATTGGCATCACTGATCGGCGACGAGTGGCTCCTTTTCCTTGTTTTCCCTCCGCCAGGCCCGCAGCAGGCACGAGGTGACTGCCCTGCAAGCAGAGAGGAAGATCGTCGAGTTGAAGCAGGCAGGTCGTACCGCCAGTGTTGTGTGTGTGGATCGAGCTGACCATGCCGTGTGGAGGGGGAGGGGGGGGGGCAGTCAGCCGTGTGCGGTGCCACAGGAGTGCCCTCCCCTTATTAAGTTAGACGTACACAGCCGGACCCGGGCCGGGGTCTCTGGACCCAGGCCGGACATGGCTGGCTTGTCCTCCCCCTAGAGGGACCGGGCTGGGAGGGGCCGGCGCTGTCCGCGCCCCGCACCCGAGCACCCTACCATCCCGTCGGCAACGTATTGCACCTTGGGGTCCCGGGCGGGGCGGGGCGGGGCGAGGCTGGGCCTGGACACAACCACCATCTCCTCCCACGTACCCATTGCCGGCCACGGCCGCAACAATTGGCCGGGGAGAGCGCAGAAGCGAAAGGCCAAACGAGGGCCGGAAAAAGAAAAGGAGCACTGCCATCCTTTTACCTGGAGTTGTAGACGAACTCGACGCCGAGCACGGTGAGGGAGAGCAGCATGCCGTTGTACAGCACGAGCAGCGCCGGGTAGAACTCCTGCAGCCCGATGGGGACGAACACCTTGATCTGCGCCGAGCACTCGGGCCGCTGCGACTCCCAGCGGTTGTGGATGCGGTCCAGCAGACCCACCTCGCGGTGCCAGCGGAGCCTGGAGGCGGGGGAACCGTCGTTGGCGTTGGCCTTTGCGCGGGCCGGGCGGGGCGGGGCGGGGCGGGCGACAGCGGCGACAGCGCGGCCACCTCAGGTGGCGTGCATCGCACCCGCCCCCCGACCGCGCCGCCCCCGCGGGGGCTCTGGCTGCCGCCGCTCGCCGCTCCCTCACCCCTCCCCGCGCTGCCTACGTGCTCATAATGAGTGGAAATTGGGCGAAATTATAGGGCAGTAAATACGAAGCACGCCGTGGAGGGCCGGCCGCCGCCGCCGCCGCCGCTCCACGCGTAAATATAACACCTGCATAAATTATATAACTGGCAGGGCATTTTCTGGCGCGCGCGTTCATTTGAATCGGCGATAAAGCAGCAACAGCAGCGGGCGGCAGGCTCCGCAAAGGCGTGCCGGGCTGCGTCCACGGCGGCCTGGAGGGCCCCGGGCGCCCGTCGGGGGAGGAGGCGTCGCCGGGCAGCCGTTCGGACACGGCCAGCGCCCGCACGGTTTGGAGCCGGTAAGCAGCGTTTTATTGCGCGTAATGGGTAGCGGGCCTGGGCGCCAGGACGGTCACCAGGCGGTCGGACCCGGCGGTCGGCCCCCTCACGTCACCGCCAGAGCCCTGCGTGTCGCTCTTGAAACGCCCCGCTCCTGGGCCCGCCTCTGTCCCGCTCGTGTGAGACAGATCCCACCGGAGAGTGTTTGCTCATTAGATTACGAATGAGAGAGAGAGAGAGAGAGAGG